TGTGTCTCTGTGTGTGTCTGTGTCTCGCTATGTGTCTCTTTCTCTCTGTGTGTCTGTGTGTCTCTGTGTGTCTGTGTGTGTCTCTGTGTGTCTCTGTGTGTGTCTGTGTGTCTGTGTGTGTCTCTGTGTCTCTGTGTGTGTCTGTGTCTCGCTATGTGTCTCTTTCTCTCTGTGTGTCTGTGTGTCTCTGTGTGTCTGTGTGTGTCTCTGTGTGTCTGTGTGTGTCTGTCTCGCTATGTGTCTCTTTCTCTCTGTGTGTCTGTGTGTCTCTGTGTGTCTGTGTCTCTCTGTCTGTGTGTCTCTGTGTGTCTGTGTGTGTCTCTGTGTGTCTGTGTGTGTCTCTGTGTGTCTGTGTCTCGCTATGTGTCTCTGTGTGTCTGTGTCTCTGTGTGTCTATGTGTCTCTGTGTGTCTCTGTGTGTCTCTGTGTGTCTGTGTGTGTCTCTGTGTGTCTGTGTCTCGCTATGTGTCTCTGTGTCTCTGTGTGTCTGTGTCTCTGTGTGTCTATGTGTCTCTGTGTGTGTCTGTGTGTCTCTGTGTGTCTCTGTGTGTCTGTGTGTGTCTGTGTGTGTGTGTGTGTGTCTCTGTGTGTCTATGTCTCTGTGTGTCTCTATGTGTCTGTGTGTCTCTGTGTGTCTCTGTGTGTCTATGTCTCTGTGTGTCTCTATGTGTCTGTGTGTCTCTGTGTGTCTCTGTGTGTCTGTGTCTCTGTCCATGTGGTCCATGCTGTGTCTCTGTGTGTCTCTCAGGACATCGAATGTTTGGCCAGTGACGGGATGCTGCTGGCTAGCTGCTGCCTGGCAGGACAGATTCGGGTGTGGGACGCCCAGACTGGAGACTGTTTGACCGTTATCCCGAACCACGGGTGAGACTATCTCTGCATGGATCCATCTGTTGTTTGTTTTTGGTGGTTAATTGTCCCCAGCAGGGACCAGAGACAGAGGTCTGGGACTCACAGTCACAGACAGTGTCATCATACCGCCGACTTCTCACTGAGAGGAACAATGTCCTGAACCTAACAGAGTTTATTTGTCTTTAAAAGATCAGAGACAGTAAAGTCCAGTCTCAGAGTCTTCTGACAGAGACAGACGGAAACTGTCTCACATAGACCCAGAGAAAAGTTGTCCTCAGTCGCCGCCTCATTTTTAAAAACCAGCTGCAGAGCTCCAAATATTTAAATCGGGTATTTTCCTTCATTATAAATCCTGATCCATATTCAGCTGAGTCCAGAGACAAGATACAGTTAAACTTCAATTAAAGGCCCGGTCTCCATTAAAGGCCCGGTCTCCCTTAAAGGCCCGGTCTCAATTAAAGGCCTGGTCTCAATTAAAGGCCTGGTCTCCATTAAAGGCCTGGTCTCAATTAAAGGCCTGGTCTCAATTAAAGGCCTGGTCTCCATTAAAGGCAAACATCTAAACATCCTGCAGGGACATGAGACAGACTGATGTCTCTGATGTGTCTCCGATGTGTCTCAGATTTGTCTCCGATGTCTCTCTGATGTGTCTATGATGTCTTTCTGATGTGTCTCTGATGTCTTTAATGTGCTTCTGATGTGTCTCTGATGTTTGTAATGTGTCTCTGATGTCTCTCTGAGGTCTGTAATGTGTCTCTGATGTCTCTGTCGTGTCCCTGGTGTCTCTCAGTAACCCTCAGTGTGATGTTTTGTCCTCAGGCTCAGACGCAGCAGCAGCAGTGGCTGCTGGGAGCAGCGTGATGGTTGGGACAGTGTGGGCGGAGCCACAGACTCTGAGTGTTTAGAAGCTCACAGCTCGTCTGTCACAGCTGACGTCCTCTCGGAGGAGGAGGGCTACCCTCTGAGACGTCGCTCCGCCCCCGCCCGCCCCACCCTGTTCACTGACCAGCCAGATCTCACACCACTCATCGACACCAACTTTGCCTCCCAGCCCCCCTCCCACCTCTGCACCCCACCCAGAGAAGGCTTTGACTTTGGAGGTCTGGTGGAGCGTGCCTACATGGAGCACGAGCCCCCGTCATCCTCCACCTACCCGTCTCCTTCCTCAGCCTCGTCCTCGCCGGCATCAGGAGCTCTGCTCCAGAGGAGACCCAGCTCAGGGGACAACGCCGCCTTCTTAAACCCCGACAGAGGCTGCACCGCGGGGACGCAGGTCACGGCTGACTGGGAGAGCTCTGTGTGGGCCATGGAGCTGAGAGGGAACCTGATCGCTGCTGGGCGGAGCAGCGGCAAACTGGAGGTGCGTGTGTGTGTGTGCGTGTCTGTGTCTGTGTGGGTGTGTGTGTGTCTGTGTGTGTGAAAATGAAAGAACAAAAACAACATATTTAATTTTTATAAAGTTATAATATTATTTCACAACACTGACCTGGGAACATCCTGTCACCTGTCGCTGTGTGCAACACCTGAGCCACGCCTGTGACCTGTGAACATTCTGTCACCTGAGACACTCAGCTGTCTTAAAATTAAAGAAATATATTTCAATCAATCAATCAATTTTATTTATAAAGCCCAATATCACAAATCACAATTTGCCTCACAGGGCTTTACAGCATACGACATCCCTCTGTCCTTATGACCCTCACAGCTGATCAGGAAAAACTCCCCAAAAAACCCTTTAACGGGGAAAAAACGGTAGAAACCTCAGGAAGAGCAACTGAGGAGGGATCCCTCTTCCAGGACGGACAGACGTGCAATAGATGTCGTACAGAACAGATCAACATAATAAATTAACAGTAATCCATATGACACAATGAGACAGAGAGAGAGAGAGAGAGAGAGACAGAGAGAGACAGAGAGAGAGACAGAGAGAGAGAGAGAGATGCAGGTAATGACAGTAGCTTACAACAACATTAATTAAAGTAATAATATAATTTATTTATTTAATTATAATTTTTTTTTAAATCTAAAAAAGTTTATCATTTAAGAGGTTTTTTTTGTAAATTAATTTGAATAATTTTTTAAAGAAAACATGACCTCCATATTTTGGTGATGATTCTTTAGCGATACATTTTGGCAAGTTTTCTTTAAAATATTTATCACAGCCAAAAACTGTAAAAACAGGAATTATATTTGGATTTTCAAATTTCTGATGGTCATTGAACACATTGTGTGTGACAAACACTTCTCTCAGAAAAAACACTCAAAACCAAATCTGAAGTTAAAACAGTGACACTTCATCAAACCTTGTTCACATTTTTAAAGAAAATTAAATTTCAAATTTAAATTCAGATCTGATGTTAAAATAATATTTTATCAGAATCACTTACATACATACAAACTTGGATGAGCACCAATTTCCTGATATTAAATTCAGACAAAACTGAAGTTATTGTTCTTGGCCCCAAACAACTCAGAGACTCTTTATCTGATGACATAGTTTCTCTAGATGGCATTGCTCTGGCCTCTAGCACTACCGTAAGAAACCTCGGAGTAATATTTGATCAAGATTTGTCTTTTAATTCTCATTTAAAGCAAACCTCACGGACTGCATTTTTTCATCTGCGTAATATTGCGAAAATTAGGCCTATCCTGACCCGAAAAGATGCAGAAAAATTGGTCCACGCTTTTGTTACCTCAAGGCTGGATTACTGTAACTCTCTATTATCAGGTAGCTCTAGTAAGTCCTTAAAAACTCTCCAGCTAATTCAGAATGCAGCAGCACGTGTACTAACAGGAACTAAGAAACGAGATCATATTTCTCCTGTTTTAGCTTCTCTGCACTGGCTCCCTGTAAAATCCAGAATTGAATTTAAAATCCTACTGTTAACTTATAAAGCTCTAAATGGTCAAGCTCCGTCATATCTTAGAGAGCTCATAGTGCCATATTATCCCACCAGAACACTGCGCTCTGAGAACGCAGGGTTACTCGTGGTCCCTAAAGTCTCCAAAAGTAGATCAGGAGCCAGAGCCTTCAGCTATCAGGCTCCTCTCCTGTGGAATCATCTTCCTGTTACGGTCCGGGAGGCAGACACCGTCTCCACATTTAAGACTAGACTTAAGACTTTCCTCTTTGATAAAGCTTATAGTTAGGGCTGGCTCAGGCTTGCCCTGTACCAGCCCCTAGTTAGGCTGACTTAGGCCTAGTCTGCCGGAGGACCCCCCTATAATACACCGGGCACCTTCTCTCCTTCTCTCTCTCTCTCTCTCTCTCTCTCTCTCGTATTCTATTACTGCATCTTGCTAACTCGGCCATTCTGGATGTCACTAACTCGGCTTCTTCTCCGGAGCCTTTGTGCTCCACTGTCTCTCAGATTAACTCATATCGCAGCGGTGCCTGGACAGCGTGACGTGTGTGGTTGTGCTGCTGCCGTGGTCCTGCCAGATGCCTCCTGCTGCTGCTGCCATCATTAGTCATTAGTCATACTTCTACTGTTATTATACACATATGACTATTGTCACACATGTATACTGCCAGATATTAATACATACTTTCAACATATTGTACCACAGTAGCCAGAACTATAACTATAATATTATTACTTTCAATAATGTTGTTGTAAGCTACTGTCATTACCTGCATCTCTCTCTCTCTCTCTCTCTCTCTCTCTCTCTCTCTCTCTCTCTGTCTCATTGTATCATGCGGATTACTGTTAATTTATTATGCTGATCTGTTCTGTACGACATCTATTGCACGTCTGTCCGTCCTGGAAGAGGGATCCCTCCTCAGTTGCTCTTCCTGAGGTTTCTACCGTTTTTTTTCCCCATTAAAGGGTTTTTTTGGGGAGTTTTTCCTGATCAGCTGTGAGGGTCATAAGGACAGAGGGATGTCGTATGCTGTAAAGCCCTGTGAGGCAAATTGTGATTTGTGATATTGGGCTTTATAAATAAAATTGATTGATTGATTGATTGACTTCATTTTACGTCTCAAACGAATGACAGGAGTGAAAAACTGAGACTTTTTTTTAACTTTAAAAACTTATAAGTGATTTATGGTGGAGGGAGGGTCGTGGATTTGATGACTGTGTTTGTTTGGTTCCAGCTGTGGGACGCAGTCGAAGGTTCGTTACGCTGCGTTAATGACGACGGCGTCTCTGGGATCACAGCTCTTGCCTTCCTCAACAACAGGTGACTGAAACACACACACACACACACACAGATGTATTGGTGTCAGATTTGATTAAGGTGGAGGTGTCAGAGTGTGTAAGCCCCGCCCTCACACTTCATGTGACTCTGTGTGTGTCATCCTCAGGATCGTGGCAGCTCGGCTGAACGGCTCTCTGGATTTCTTCACAGTGGAGATAAACAAACCCCTGGGTCTGGTTCAGTACAGAGGTGTGTGAGCTTCATCATCATCATCATCATCATCGTGATGACATCACATCATATTTATTTACTCCTACAGCTCACAGTGTTAAAACCAGCTCAGTGACGTAGAAACGCGATGACATCACACACTGTACAGAAACAATATTTCTGCCGCTTTATAACACAAACACACACCGAACACACACTTTACACACTCAGCTTTATCACAGATAATCTATAAAAACACCTGATGAACTAATCAATAATCAGAAATGAGCAGCAGTTTAATCAGTGATTTTTCAGCAGACACGCAGATCAGCTGCTTCGTTAACTGATGATGATGAACGAGACGTGTGACATCTTGAGACACTGTTTATAGACTCAACATTTATTGATCACATGTTGACTCGCAGCCCGAAATGAACCCACTGAGGTCAGGATGAAACTTAACGCCCTCTGCCTTATCTGACAGGCACCCTCGGGCGAGGCAGCATGCCTCCGTCTCCCTGTTACAGCAGCGAGGACATCATCAGCTGCCAGCTCACGCGCTCCGTTCAGTGCGCCCACCAAAAGCCAATCACAGTGCTGCGAGCCGCCGCCGGGAGGGTCGTCACCGGGAGCCAGGACCACACTGTCCGGGTAACATACTAACGCTAACATTTTAGTCATGAGTCACATTTAACACAGACCAGATTAGACCACAGATACACACTTGATACTACACACACGACACACACATGACACACAGATGACATGCTCTGTGTGTGTGTGACTCAGGTGTACCGTCTGGAGGACTCGTGCTGTCTCTTCACGCTGCAGGGTCACTCTGGAGGAATCACAGCCATCTACATCGACCAGGTCAGTCAGACACCGCGTTACCATGGAAACACATCAGACCAAATATATTTCATATCTCACTTCCACATTAAACCGATAGTGTCTTAGGCCCGCCTCCAGCCTCAGGTCCCGCCTCAAGCCCCGCCTCCACCAACCTGTAGTGAAAATCACATTTATCACGGATTCCTTATCAATAAATAACATTTAATATTTAACCATCCCTGAATGACATCATGCATGTTATTATTGTATGATGATGATCATCAGAACCTGAAGCAGCTGACTGATCAGATCTTTAACTCTATGTCAGGTTTTAATCAGATTTAGTTTGATGTTGAAGCTTCTGTCTGATTGTTAATAAACCACTGTATGATGTGTTTGGAACAATCAGAGGCTGCAGAGTTACAGACACAAACACACAGTCACCTGACGTCACTGGACCTCACTGGTTTTATTTCCACCAGCTGACACAGGGTGACTAAAACCAAATAACATACGTGCTAGGGTTAGGGTTGAAAAATCAACGTACTATACTATGACTTTTTTTGCGGACAAAATTCGACACGCTATACTATTACTTTTTTTTTTAAATCAATATACTATACTATGGCTTTTTTTAAATCAACATATACTATGGCTTTTTTTAAAATCGACATACTATACTATGACTTTTTTAAAAAGTCAACATACTATACTATGGCTTTTTTTTAAATCGAATTAAAAAGTCGACATACTATACTGTGGCTTTTTTTAAAATCAACATACTATACTATGACATTTTTTTAAAATCGACATGCTATACTATGACTTTTCTTTAAGAAAGTCAACATATTATACTATGACTTTTTTTAAAGTCGACAAACTATACTATGACTATTAAAAAGTCGACATACTATACTATGGCTTTTTTTTAAATCAACATACTATACTATGACTTTTTTTAAAATCGACATACTATACTATGACTTTTTTTTTAAAAAAATCGACATACTATACAATGACTTTTTTTTAAAAAAATGTCGACATACTATACTATGACTTTTTTTTAAAAAAAATCCGACATACTATACTATGACTTGTTTTAAAAATCGACATACTATACTATGACTTTTTAAAAAATAATAGACATACTATAGTATGACTTTTTTTTAAAAAAAAATCGACGTACTATACTATGACTTTTTTAAAAAGTCGACACACTACACTGATTTTTTTGCAGACAAAAATCGACACGCTATACTATGGTTTTTTTATAAAATGTCGACATACTACACTATGACTTCTTTTTTTAAATCAACATACTATGCTATGACTTTTTTTAAAAAGTCCACATACTACACTATGACTTCTTGTTTTTTAATCGACATACTATACTATGACTTTTTAAAAAAATTCAACGTACTATACTATGACTTTTTAAAAAATAATAGACATACTATAGTGTGACTTTATTATTAGTATGTCGACTTACTATACTATGATTTTTTTTTTTTAAAAATCGACGTACTATACTATGACTCCTTTTTTTAAAAAAACCGACATACTATAGTATGACTTTTTAAAAAAATCGACATACTATACTATGACTTTTTTTTTAAAAAAAGATCGACGTACTATACTATGACTTTTTAAAAAAAATCAACATACTATACTATGACTTTTTTTTAAAAAAAGATCGACGTACTATACTATGACTTTATTTAAAAAATCGACACACTATACTATGACTTTTTTTTTTTAAATTTGACACACTATACTATGGTTTTTTTGCAGACAAAAATCGACATGCTATACTATGATTTTTTTATAAAATGTCAACATGCTACACTATGACTTCTGTTTTTAAATCAACATACTATATTATGACTTTTTTTAAAAAGTCCACATACTATACTATGATTTTTTTTAAAAAACCGACATACTATGCTATGACTTTTTAAAAAAAATCGACATACTATACTATGACTTCTTTTTTTTAAAAAATCGACATAGTGTACTATGACTTTATTTAAAAAATCGACATAGTGTACTATGACTTTATTTAAAAAATCGACACGCTATACTATGACTTTTTTTAAAAAAAAAGATCGACGTACTATACTATGACTTCTTTTTTTTTGAAAATCGACATAGTGTACTATGACTTTATTTAAAAAATCAACACGCTATACTATGACTTTTTTAAAAAAAAATCAACATACTATACTGACTTTTTTTAAAAAACTCCACGTACTATACTATGACTTTTTTTAAAAAAAAGATCGACGTACTATACTCTGACTTCTTCTTTTTTTAAAAATCGACATACTGTACTATGACTTTATTTAAAAAATCGACACACTATACTATGATTTTTTTATAAAATGTTGACATACTACACTATGACTTCTGTTTTTAAATCAACATACTATGCTATGACTTAAAAAAAAAATTGGTATACTATACTATGACTTTTTTTTAAAAAAGTCCACATACTATACTATGACTTCTTTTTCTAAAAAAACAACATACTATGCTATGACTTTATTAAAAAAATCGACATACTATACTATGACTTTTTAAAAAATAATAGACATACTATAGTATGACTTTATTATTAGTATGTCGACATACTATACTATGACTTTTTTTTTTTAAAAATCGACGTACTATACTGACTTTTTAAAAAATCATAGACATACTATAGTATGACTTTATTATTAGTATGTCGACATACTATACTATGACTTTTTTTAAAAAATCGACGTACTATACTGACTTTTTTTTAAAAATCGACATACTATACTATGACTTTTTTTTTTAAATTGACATACTATACTATACTATGACTTTTTTTAAGAAGTCGACACACTATACTATGACTTTTGCAGACAAAACTCGACACGCTATACTATTTTTTTTTAAATGTCGACATACTACACTATGACTTCTTCTTTTAAATCGACATACCATACTGACTTTTTTTTTTTTTAAAAATTGACACGCTATACTATGACTTTTTTTTTTTAAAAAGTCGACACACTATACTATGATTTTTTTTGCAGACAAAATCGACACGCTATACTATGATTTTTTTTTAAATGTCGACATACTACACTATGACTTCTTTTTTTAAATCAACATACTATACTGTGACTTTTTTTTAAAAAGTCGACATACTATACTATGACTTTTTTTAAAATCGACATAATATACCGTGACTTTTTTTTTAAAAAAGTCGACATACTATACTATGACTTTATTAAAAAGTCGACATACTATACTATGACTTTTTAAGAAAGTCGACATACTATACTAGGACTTTTTTTAAAATCGACATACTATACTAGGACTTTTCTTTAAGAAAGTCAATAAAACTATACTATGACTTTATTAAAAAGTCGACATATTATACTATGACTTTTTTTTTAAAAAAATCGACATACTATACTATGACTTTTTTTAAGAAAGTCGACATACTATACTATGATTTTTTTGCGGACAAAAATCGACACGCTATACTATGATTTATTTTATAAAATGTTGACATACCACACTATTACTTCTTTTTTTAAATCGACATACTATACTATGACTTTATTAAAAAAAATCGACACGCTATACTATGACTTTTTTAAAAAATGTCGACATACTACACTATGACTTCTTGTTTTTTAATCGACATACTATACTATGACTTTTTTCTTAAAAGTCGACATAGTATACTATGACTTTTTTTAAAAAGACGCCATACTGTACTTTGACTGTTTTTTAAAAATCGACATACTATACTATGACTTTTTAAAAAATAATAGACATACTATAGTATGACTTTATTAGTATGTCGACATACTATACTATGACTTTTTTTAAAGAAAGTCGACATACTATACTATGACTTTTTTTTTTTTTAAATCGACATACTATACAATGACTTTTTTAAGAAAGTCGACATACTATACTATGACTTTTCTTTAAGAAAGTCGACATACTATACTATGACTTTATTAAAAAGTTGACATACTATACTGTGGCTTTTTTTTTATCAACATACTATACTATGACTTTTTTTTAAAAAGTCCACATACTATACTATGACTTCTTTTTTTTAAAAAATGACATACTATGCTATGACTTTATTAATAAAATCGACATACTATACTATGACTTTTTATAAAAATCGACATACTATACTATGACTTTTTAAAAAATAATAGACATACTATAGTATGACTTTATTAGTATGTTGACATACTATACTATGACTTTTTTTAAGAAGTCGACACATTATACTATGACTTTTGCAGACAAAATTCGACACGCTATACTATTTTTTTTAAAATGTAGACATACTACACTGACTTCTTCTTTTAAATCGACATACCATACTGTGACTTTTTTTAAAAAAGTCGACATACTATACTATGACTTTTTTTTAAATCCACATAATATACTGACTTTTTTTTTTTTTTTTTAAATTGACATACTATACTTTGAATTTTTCTTGGAAAATAAATGACCTCCTATACTATGACTTTCTTTCTGAGAAAAATCGACATGCTGTACTATGACTTTTTTTATGGGGGAAAAATTCGACATAGTGTAATATGACTTTTTTCAAAAAATCGACATACTTTAGTATGACTTTTTATTTAAAAAAAATAAACTCAGTATTCTATGACTTTCTGAAAAAATCGAGAAGCTATACTATGCCCTTTTTTTAAAAAATTGACATACTATACTATTACTTTTTTTCAAACATTGACATATTATGCTATGACTTTTTTGGGAAAAAAAAATCGACATACTATACTATGACTTTTAAAAAAAAAACTTGACATACTATACTATGACTTTTTTTCCAACATTGACATATTATACTATGACTTTTTTGAAAAACAAATCGACATACTATACTATGACTTTTTTTGCAGACAAAAATCGACACGCTATAGTATGACTTTTTTTAAAACAAAAGTAACATACGTTACTGTGTCTTTTCTTTTTATATCGACATACTATACTATGACTTTTTTTGCAGACAAAAATCAACAGGCTATATTATGACTTATATATGACTATATGACTATAGTATTTCGATTTTTTTTTTTTTTTTAAAAAAAAGTGATAGTATAGTTTGTCGATTTTTCTTTTTTTTAAAAAAAGTCATAGTATAGCAGGACATTTTTTTCAAAGAAAAGTAGTATGTCGATTTTTAAAAAAAGAACATACTATACTGTGACTTTAAAAAAAAAATTGACATACTATACTATGTTTTTTTTTTAAATTGACATACTATAGTATCTTTTTTTTCTTTGAAAAATATGACCTACTATATTATGACTTCATGGAAAAAAATCAACATAATATACTATGACTTTTTTCAAAAATCGACATACATTGAAATACTATACTATGACTGTTTTAAAAAGAAATCGACCTGCTATACTGACTTTTATGGGGGAAAAAAATCGACATGCTATACTATGACTTTTTAAAGAATCAACAAACTAAACTTTTTTTTAAAAAATTGACATTCTTTTCTATGACTTTTGTTTTTTACAAGTCAACATTCTATAATATGATTTTTTTTTTTTTTTTAATCGACATACTATAATGACTTTTTTTGAAAAATCGAAATATTATACTATGACATTTTTAAATGAAATCGACATGCTATTCTATGACTTTTTTCTGGAAAAAATAGACATGTTATACTATGACTTTTTTTAAATAATTTGTGTTATTATTATTATTATTATCATTGTAGATAGAAAATTCTGCGACATACAACCAGACATAATAATCAAAGTAAATGTTCAGCAAACATCATGAAATCAGTAAAATGTACTGACTGTGATTCTTTTTCTCCTCAGACGATGGTTCTGGCAAGCGGCGGTCAGGATGGCGCAATCTGTTTGTGGGACGTCTTGACGGGGAGTCGAGTCAGCCATGTTTACGGTCACCGTGGTGACGTCACCTCACTGGTCTGCACCACCTCTTGTGTTATCAGCTCAGGACTGGATGACCTTATCTGTATCTGGGACCGCAGCACAGGGATCAAACTCTACTCCATACAGCAGGTAATCTCAGATCTGACACCTGATGCACCTCTGAGTGTTTCTGACACCTGATGCACCTCTGAGTGTTTTGACAGCTGACGCACCTCTGACTGTTTCTGACACCTTATGCATCTCTGACTGTCTCTGACACACCTGACTGTTTCTGACACCTTATGCATGTCTGACTGTTTCTGACACCTGACATACTATACTATGACTTTTTTTAAAAAAAAATCAATATACTATATTATGACTTTTTTTAAAAAAAAAAGTCGACATACTTCACTATGACTTTTGTTTTTTTAAGGGTTAGGGTTAGGGTAACTTACCTCTGAGTGTTTCTGACACTTCACACACCTCTGACTGTTTCTGACACCTTACGCATCTCTGTTTCTGACACCTAACTCACCTCTGAGTGTTTCTGACACCTTACGCACCTCTGACTGTTTCTGACACCTTACGTACTTTTAATTGTTTCTGACACCTGAACCCAAGTTAACCTCACCTCTTTCTGTCCTCATCAGGAGGTGGGCTGTGGAGCCAGTCTGGGCGTGATCTCTGAGTCTCTCCTGGTGACGGGGGGTCAGGGCTGCGTCTCCTTCTGGGATCTGAACTTTGGTGACCTGCTGCAGACGGTCTACCTGGGCCAGAGCAGCGACGGTCAGGGCGTGCGGCAGCTGCTGGTTCTTGACAATGCCGCCATCATCTGTGACTTCGGCAGTGAGCTCAGCCTGGTGTACGTGCCATCTGTGCTGGAGAAACTGGACTGAGGACAGACGGATGACAGAAAATCATGCACTCAGAACTTAACTTCCTGTTTCTTTGCTTTGTGTTGTTTAGAGACGCGATCATGTGACCATGTGATCATGTGACCATGTAAAGCTGTTTTTCTCTGACTGATTGTACAACCTGCTGCATTTGATGGTCGCAGGGTGACGAACACTGGATGATGAATTGTTGACGTTTCTCCACCCGTCATCAGTTTATGCTTTTTTTAACACATGTGTTTGTTGTGTGGCTCCGCCCTCAATGCTGCTTTAGTGGGTGGGGCTTCACTGTGACCCTGCCCACCCAGAGAGGAAGATAAAGTTGTCTCTTTATTTTTTAATATTCCTGCTGCCTCTTTGGCTCGACAGCAGAGCGCAGCCACAGCGAGCTCTGCAGGTCTGCGGCCTGTCAGACAAGCTGTGAATGAATGAATGAGTGAATCTGAACCTGCTGAGAACAAACTGTGTGAGTGAGTGACGGAGACGTGAAGATCACTGTACAAAGTCAGCCTGTTTTTATATGTATAAATCTTATTTATTAGTGATACATTTTGGAATAACAGTTTGTTTATGAATGTCGGCTCTTAAAAAAAACAATATAACAAAATAATGATAAAGATGGCGAGTGTTTTTTTGTTTGTTTGTCAAAGGATTCTCTGGAGCGTTATCGTGGAAACACAGTGCGTCTGATCTTCACCTTCATCAGACTGCCTCCAATTTACAAATACGTCACCATGTATGTACAAAAACAATGGCGCCATGTTTACAAACACACCCGCCACCATGTTTACAAACACAGCACCGCCATGTTTAAAAACACAGTGCCCCAATGTTTACAAACACACCCGCCACCATGTTAGCAAACAGCGCTGTCATGTTTAGAAACACAGTGCCAAAACGTTTACAAACACACCATCACCACGTTCACAAACACATCGTCACTATGTTTACAAACACAGTGCCGCAATGTTTACAAACACACCGTCGTCTTGTTTGGAAAAACAACGTCACCATGTTCACAAACACACCGTCACCATCATAGTAAACACACTTTCAGCAGCTGACATCAGTTTTTTTTTTTTACCGGCTCTGCCTTTTGTTTTTTTTTTTTAAATCATTGAAACTGCTTATGTCACTGCTTATGTGAAACAGCATATGTCACTTCCTGTACACACGACCTCACAGAACATGTCACTGCCTGTACTTCTTAGATGTCTGCCAGACTGCGGGCTCACTCACCTGAGACCTGTCGAAAGTGTAAATAACAGCTGACCTGAGACCTGTTGAAGGAGTTAATAACAGCTGACCTGAGACCTGTTCAAAGTTAATAACAGCTGATCTGAGACCTGTTGAAGGAGTTAATAACAGCTTACCTCAGAAATGTCAGTTAATAACAGCTGACCAGAGAC